GCCCCTCCAAGACGAGACAGAAGGAAAAGCAGAGCCATGGGCAGGAAGCCCCAGGACCAACCTGGTGCAGGGAGCAGAACTTCTGCAGAGGACAGAGCACCTGCCAGAGACACCGAGTGACCATGTCGCACGTGTGTGTCCATGCGTGCATGTGTCTATATGCATGAGTTCGTGTTTGTTCGTCTGTGTTACATGTGCATGTCAGTGTGTGTGTGTGCATTTGTCTTTGCATGTGTCCATGTCCTTGTGTGTTCATGTGTGTGTTTGCTTGTGTACGTGAATTTGTCTATGTATGTGTGTGTGTTCCTGTGTGTCAATGTGTCTCTCTGTCTGCATACATGTCTGTGTGTATGTGTGCATTTCTGTGTCTGCGTCCACATGTGACTGTGCCTCCTATTCATGTTTCTGTGTGTGTTTGTATGTGTTCATGTCTCTGTGTCTGTATACGTGTGTGTTTGTGCATGGTGTTTCTGTGCATATGTCTTTGTATATTCACATCTGTGTGTCCATGTCTTTATGCATCCATGTTCATGTGTGTGTGTGTCCATATCTGCATGTGTTTCTGAGTGTGCATATTTCTGTGCATGTGTCCATGTCTGCATGTGCCCTACATATGTGTGTGCATTGCATTCCTGTGTGTGTCTGTGTATGTTCATGTCTGTGTGTGTGCATGTACATGCATTTCCATGTCTTTTTGTGTTTGTGTGTGTACATGTTCATGTCTGTGCAGGTGCACTTCTTTGCGTGTTTTGTGTATGTTTGGGGGCATTTTTTGCATGTGTTCATGTCTGCATGTGTGCACATGTGTGCTTATGTGTCTGTTCATGTGCATATTCTTCATGTCTGAGTGTAACCGTGTTTGTGTTCATGCATTGCATGTCCGTGTGCATGTTCTTGTGTGTGCCCATGATCTCGTGTGCCCATGTGTGCACGTGTGTGTTCTGCCTGTGCCCATGTGGCCTTCTTTTAGGTGTTGTCTGGAAGCAGCTGCAGGAACTGTGCCTGGGCTCTGCCTTCCCGCAGGCATTTGGCACAGAGCCCAAGGCCTCCCTGAGGTTGTCCCAAGGTGAGCAAGCAGGTGAGGCAGGCCTGGGGCCATGCAGAAGGGAGGTCTGAGGGGGGCAGGGTGGG